GATGAGGACAAGTCCTGGCTCTGGTACCCCGGAGAGAGCCGAACGCAGCCTGGGCCTGCCGAGGCCCCGATCCCTGGCATCCGCCGTCCCCGGACCCTGCAGGCCGAAGCGGGGCGGCGCGGCCTCCCCACATGGGCCAAGGCGGATCGCGGCCTGCGGTCGCCGCTCTCCGCTCCACACCCTGACTGACCATTTTCCGTCCCCGCCGCTCGACCTCCCGCGGGTGTTCTTTAATTACCTCGACATTTGATAACCGCCGGTTATAGGTCAGACGATCGACGTGAGACTGATTTCACAAGAAAACAGTCTGGAATTCCTCAAGGAGCTTACCCTCTAGTATGGAGATAAAACGCAACAAACCGTAATGCAAGGTTTCGAGATAGTGAGGATAAGGGGCTTGAGACTGCTTTAAGAAAATTCGTTAATTCTGAATGAGGGATAAGTTGACTTCAGTAAGTCGCTAATATCTGAAGTGGGCCTTGAAGCTGCTCATTCCGAGACAGGAGCCGCTAGCCACGTATGGCTCCTGGGCTCTTGAAATGTAGCTAGTCCGAATTGTGATTTGCTTAAAGTGTAAAATGCACACCATATGTAGAAGATTTAATTAAAAAAAATGTAAAATAGCTCATTAGCAATATTTTGGATATATTGGGTTAAGTAAAATACATTATTAGAATTAATTTCGCCTACTTTTTACCTCTTTGATGTGGCTACTAAATTTTTTTAAATTACATACGTGACTTGTATTATATTTCTATTGGACGGAGCTACACTGAAACATTAAGATGAATTTCACGAGAAAAGATGAGTAAGGCCTGCTAAGCAAAGAATAAACACATCACCATCAGAATCTGTTTTTAATCTATAAATTTTTTCACATTCATTATTTCATCAACACATTTCCATAAAATTTTATTTTATTAAAGAAACTAAGACTAAAACAGAGAAGTGGCTCATTCCTCTAATATATGTTCATTGAGTTTCTGCTATGTGCCAGACACTATACTGTTGTTAGGAGCAATCGAGTTGCTTCCAATTCATAGTGACCTTATGTAGAACAGAACAAAACCTTGCCCAGTCCTGCTCCATTCTCACAATTGTTGCTATGTTTGAACCCATTGTTGGAACCATGTGTCAATCCATCTCATTGAGGGTCTTCCTCTTTTTTGCTGACCCTCTACAGAAGTAACATGCAAAGTAAGCCAGGCAAAGTCTCGCCATGTTCGCTTCTAAGGGCCACTCTGTACTTCTTCCAAGACAGATGTGTTCATTCTTCTGGCAATTCATGGTATATTTGATATTTTTTGCCAACACTATAATTCAAATGCATCAATTTGAAACACTATAATTCAAATTCAAATGCATCAAGTCTTCCTTTTTCATTGTCCAGCTTTTGCGTGCATATGAGGCGACTGAAAATACCATGGCTTGGGTAAGGTGCACCTTAGTCACCAAAGTGAGATCTTTGCTTTTTAGCACTTTAAGGAGGTCTTTTGCAGCAGATTTGCCAACATCAACAAATATTTGCAATAAAATGTGATAGATACTAAATTAGAGGGATATTCTCTGCACTGGAAGCAAAGAGAAGTTACCATGGTATGGGAGAGAGGTCAAAGAAGACCTCACAGAAGCCTTGAGGTAGCTGGTAGATGTTAGAGACAGCCCAGACTCTGCTACTCTTTAGGAAACAAACCAATGTGAGATTGTCACCTTAAGAAAAGGAGGCAAAATAGGCTTTGGCCTAATGGCATGACAGTAGGTCATTAATATTTAGTAAACCTCTACTTTATGCCAGAACCTTGCCTTAAACACTATAGGAAAAAATGTAAACTACTTTTATATTATGCTTTGATATGCCATCTCTCAGCTATCAATCAACAAACTCTGTGAGATGCAGCTATTAGCATTTATCTTAGTTTCCTATGCTATTATAACAAAAACACTCTAAGTGGGTGGCTTTAAAGAACAAGAATTTATTATCTCATACTTTTGGAGGCCAGAAGTCCGAATTCAGGATGTTGGCAGGGCTAGGCTCTCTCTCTGTTGGCTCTCTGAGAAAGTTCTTGTCTCTTTCAGTATCTGTCGCCCAGGCATTTTATGGTGTTCCTGACAATCCTCACAGGGTGTCTTCCCCCCTGTGTGTTTGTCTCTTTGTGTCTGTACTCCCTTAATAAAACACCACTCAGAAGGGATTAGGTTTAGGACCCACCCCACTCTGGTATGACCTCATTAGAATAACAAAAGAAAAATCCTATTTCCAAACAGGGTCACATTCACAGGTATAGGGGTTAGAACTTTAACTTATCTTTTGGGGGGACACAATTCAATCCAAAATAGCATTGGTTCAGGGGCATGAATTGAGCTAAGAGGCAGAATTGGGAATTGAGCCTTGGTCTCAGGCTTCTGATCTGATCCTGTCACCATAGTGGTAGCTTACCTTCCAAATAATATATGGACAAGTTCAAACTCCTATACAATGTTACAAGGTTGTTGTTGTTAGGTGCTGTTGAGTCAGTTCCGACTCATAGCGACTCTGTTGGACAGAGTAGAACTGCCTTATAGGGTTTCTAAGTAGCAGCTGGTGGATTTGAACTGCCGACCGTCTGGTTAGCAGCTGAGCTCTTAACCACTCCACCACCAGAGCCCCGTTACAAGGTAGAGTAATTAAATATTCAGCGAAATATTCCATTTTTTAAAAAATCCTTTCTGGTGGAAGGGTTTTGAGATCAACTTTGAAGGTGAAATGCAGGAAGCCATCCTAGATAGAATCAGATGGCATATGTGTACATACTGTGGCATCATGCAGGATGAAGAACACAGAGATGATGGAGTTATCTGTCTGTAAACCATTGCTGTCAAGTCCAACTCATGGCGACCTCATGTATTACACAGTAGAACTACTCCACAGGGTTTTCTTGTCTATAACCTTTTATGGAAGCAGATCACCAGGCTTTTCTTCTGTGGCACTGCTGTGTGTGCTTGAACTGCCAACTGTTAGGTTGGTAGTTGAGTGCAAACCACTTGCACCACCCAGGCACCTTGTCTGTCTATAGTAGAGAAGAAATGAAACAGGAAATTGATAGAAAGTCTAAAATTGTGGGACAAGTGTTTTTATTTGCTATGTCAGATAACAGGGAGTCACTATATTTAGTGTTTATAAGGAAATGATATATTCCTTGTATATCTAATGAGTCCAACTATATCACCCTAGGGGCAATTTCTGAACCATTGGCACAGGTGGTACAGTGCTTAAAAGCTATGGTGAGCTACTGGCAATGGGTTTAAGGGCAATTTTTGGACCATTGGCACAGGATGAAAACCAAACCAAACCTGTTGTCATCAAGTCAATTCCGACTAATAGCAACCCTATAGGACAGAGTAGGGTTTCCAATGAGCGGATGGTGGATTCGAACTGCTGACCTTTTGGTTAGCAGTCAAACACCTAATCACAGTGCCACCAGGGTACAAGATAGGGATCCCAAATTTAGGTGAGTAGTCCTGCTAAGTTGAGGAGGCATAGATTAGAATTCAGGATGATTGAAGCAGCTAGAATTTGTGGGCAGAGTGCCAGAGAGGAAAGAACTTTGAAGAGAAAGAGTCTGCCTAGGGGTCTTTTTAATCTTCGGCTGCATTCAAATATTTACACACATATGGTGAAACTCCATAAGACTGAGAAAAGCAAAAGGGGGTACAGAAAGAAAATTATCAGGGAACTCTAATACAAATAATTCCAAGAGCTCACACAGAGTTGATAATTGTTTGCATTCCTACCTTCCAAGGTGGAGAGACTTTACTGAGTACATGGGATGTTCAATGGAGATCCACAGAGGTCGTGCCTTAATAGGAGGGATAAAGTAGCCCTAGAGTAAAGACTACTTTAGATCTAATGTAAAAAAGCTTAAAGACAAACCTATAAAGAATCAAGCTAATCTGCAAGTAACCTAACTGCCTGCTAGACAAAGTTCAACACTCTGTAAATTAATACAACAAAATTCACACTCAACAATGTAAAATCACAATGTTTGACATTCAAACAATAATTACTAGACATGCAAAGAAACAGGAAAATATGGCCCATAACCCAGAGAAAAAATTAGTAAATGGAAACAAACCCAGTAATGACAGTGTTGATGGAATTGTCAGGCAAGAACTTTATAAACAATTATAAATAATACACATATGTTCAAGGACTTAAAGGAAAATGTGAACACAATGAAGAGAGAAATGGAAGACATTAAAAGAGTGAAACTTCCAGAAATGAAAAATACAATGCGTAAAGTGAAATTTTCACTGGGTAGAATTTGACACTTCAGCAAAAAAAAACAAAAACAAAAAACAGTAAACTTGAAGACATAGCAATTAAACTATTGCAAATGAAGCACAGAGAGAAAAAGACTAAAATGAATTAATTAATTAATAAATAAAAAGTAGTGTCAGTGAGCTGTGGGATAATATCAAGTGGTGGAAAACA